ACTTATTATATTACTAATTCTATGTCATCATCACAAATTAAAGAGCAATATATCATATAAAGACTGTCAAGACCATGAATTCTTGCTACTGACGAAGAACAAAAAAGAAAACTGCTCGAGATACGTAATGTGAAGAAAAGATCAATTTTCGTCAATATTTAAATTCAGTCAATAGGACATATTTTTGCATCGTATACTATATTATCTTATTTACAACGGTATACAAAGCAAAAAAATTTTAGAAAGGAAGAAAAAGATAAATCTTAGCAAGTTTTTTCTTTTTATTTCTGTTCTGGATCATTGCCAAATTCATTTTCTTCTTCTTCTTCTTCTCTTCCGTTCCACATAGTCATCATTTTTTTTTTTCTTTTATTAGATTTTTATGGTCAAATACACGGTGAATGAATGTATAGTTGACTTGTCTACTTTTTTTCTCTCTCTACAATTACAATAAATGGCGAGGCGCCCGTGAGTAACTTTTTTATTCTTCAGACGGTCTATCATATCGCAAATAAACTAAATATTATTTATTATTTATTACATCTATATAGTATAGTTTATTAAAAAGAAAATGTTTTTTCCTTTTTTTCCTTGCCTACATTGCTGTTTGTTCTTTAAAAAAAAAAACACGCGCGTTTTCTTTCGCCATCTTTTAAAGTGAACACATTATTCTGAAATGACATTTCTGATTTTCTTAACTTCAAGTGAGTGAATAGTAGTAATAGTAGTAGTAGTAATAGTAGTAGTGGTAATGGTAGTAGTAGTAGTACTGGTAGTAAATAACAAAAGGAAAACGTTTTTTTTAATTAAACGAAATGAGAAGTGTGTAGTTCTCTTCTATATATTAATTATATTAATAGGGAGGGTAATTCAATATAGTCAATATGCATTTGTGTCTAAATCTCTTCATATAAAGATTTTTCTAGTATAACCTAGTAATAATGAATCATCTCTGAAGAGTTGTGTTACATCGTGCAAAGATTAGATGTCGAGATAAGATGGCTCCAATAGAATGATGTCATATGACCTATATCACTAATTCTGATCAATCAGAAATCTATAGACAGAAAGAGAGAAGACAACTATTTTACTCCTATAGAACTACGACATTATGAGTTTTCTATCTGATATGCAACAGCAATATTTCAAAGATTGTTCGATGTTGTAGAATTTTTTATAATTTTAACAAGAGTTTAGTTTAGAAAAACGATTCAGTTTTTTTATGTTTTTGTCTTATTAATTATTGATCTATATTTATAAAGTATATGAAGAAAAATGATCATTGGCTTTAGAATGTTTTAAATATGGGAGAGAACACATTTTGACGTAATACGGCAAACATACATAAGATGTTCTATCTTTGAGATTTGAGAAATGTCTCTCTTTCTACTGAGAATACAATAAAATCGAAAGTTATTCATTTTAATTTCAAAACATCTCTTCCTGCCCTTCTCTCTATCTCATTCAAAAATGATCATAATGGCCCATATACCTTTTTTCATTCTCTGTTTTTATTTGGAAACAGAAAAATATAAAAATGACGTGAATGAGAGAATGATATGTATGTAAGCGAGCAAGAGATTAAGTGTTGGTTGAATGCAGATAAAGTGACGTCATGTTAATGTGTTTTCTTTTTATGTCTTGTACTGTGATCGGAGAACGCAAAGTTATATATCATTTTTATTCATTACTCAGAAAATAATGGTGAGTCAGCATTAGATCTTACGACATTACGAGTTTCAGCACTGAGATCAAGGTATCGATCGTAATAAGAGAAATTGAGGGTATGTTCCAGACACAGGAAAGGCATTTTCTTGTTACATTACCATTTGAGTATTTACATATCGTCCGAAGTTCATATCAGACATACTGTTTAGTTTAGAGATATGCAAAATGAGTAAACATAACCAAAATATGTTTTTATTTTTCTATTTGTCTTATTTTTCGTCACTTCTGCATGAAACAACCAGTGTGGTAAGTCGTTTACAGACGGCATCACTAGTATTCGAACAATTTTCTGATTGACGAAAACTGTTTCACTCAAAACACATATATTTTTCACGATACTCTGACCAAAAACGGTTAGTCTCACATCCAACTATTTCATGAATGTCAGCTCCTCAAGTTTTTTGTTCGATTTTTGATGATCTCGACGTTTTTATTAAAAAGCATAAGATGAATGTGATTTATAACAAATCGTTCAATATGAACTTTTAAAATGGAGAAGTCAGTTACTCTGTGGGCATAAAAAATTGTTGTCCAGCCGTAGTGCTAGGATATTGCAGAAAATTCAACACTCATGGTTAAATACCAGTTCATGTTGATGGCTGGCTGACGAATTTATTCGTAGTTTACTGTGTTAGTTTTAGATTTTCAGTCATGCATAACGTGACCGAGGACCGAGTAACATTTGTATTTCTGTTAGATTTCTTTTTTTCTCTCAGAATAAAATGGAGAAAAAATTATGTAGATCGAGTAAGATGATCTATTGTAGTTTTACTAATCCATTTTATATTCTCTTCGACGTTTTCCAATGAGAAGAGGTTTTTATTCTGATCTTTAGACTCGTGCAGTTAGCAATTGATGCTCATCTTTCAATCGTACGTATGTATCAACACCAAGTGAATGCATGCTCATCAAGAGGTTCATCTAGAATTAAAGTATGCACTCGAGATGGAGGTGTATACGGTATACGGTATTATTACCTACAGCCTTCTTTTTTTGGAGGTCGAGATTCACCTTTTTTTTGTTGTGTATGTACTTTTTTGCGTTGTCTTTAAACTCAGACAAATTGAAGTAGCTTATCGATCCTGACGTTAAATGCACATACATGATCCAAATCAATATCCTATTTCTTTCTTTCTATTGGATGGAGGAGGCGAGCAGGGGGGGAGAATTTTACTATATAGTATTGAAAAGCCCACTCGTGTATTTGTGATTGATAATGCACTTGATGGTACAAAAATGTCATTTTTTTCTTTTCGTATTTACTAGACTATATATATTGGATACGATAGAAAAAAAAAAAATCGCACCCCGTCGTTGTTGCACCGAAATAGTAAGATGTCTGTTGTGTGCTATACCGAATATATTAGCAGATTATCGGTTATTTTTTACTTAGATTTTAAAAACTACATGATTATCGTAAATAAAATCTGGACAAAAAATGTCTATAACGATAACAGATGGAACATAGTATCATTATTTGAGAATGTAAGTGTTTCAGCATGACAGATAAATAAGCATGACTCATAACTGAAGTTGAGAGAAAATAAGAGTAACATTAAAGGAATTTCAGTCTAAATGATCTTCAGTGAGAAAAGTGTTGGCAAGTAGTGATAGTATAGTTACTCATAATAATAAAAGATTGTTCTGACTTGCAAAAAAGGGCTCTTAAAGTAGTTTGTCTGATGAGTAAAATTACATATATCAACACCATGATCAACAAATTTTTCCAAACTCGACTCAAATAATCTAAAAGAATATTTAGTCAACGTACTGATAATTTCTTTTCTTTATGGATATGAGTTCAGCGTTTGCTATATAAACTCATTTGGAGAAATAGTGATGATAGGTTTCATAAAGTGTTATTATATATCTCTATATCTCGATAGATAGAGATATAGACATGAATATACATAGAAATATATCACGTGTGCATGTCAAACCGATGAGTAACTTAAAGTGGTGTGATCATCTACTTTTCATCGACCCATGAAGTAATAAGCTGAAAAAAACATTTTTTTGCTATAGGTAGATTCTCATCGTCAACTGATTTGGGTTGAGTAAGTATAAACCTATGTATAAAAAAAACATAGTTCTACTATTTGAGTTGAGTCGAACAGAAGAAGAAAAAAAACTGATGATAGACTCTCATTCATCTATTATTGTATAATAAGAGCGATCTAACTTTAATCTGATTAACTTATGACGTTTAAAAATTATATGTAAAGAACGTAATTGTCATTTTACTTCATAAGAGTTAGACAAAAGACAGCGACCCATTTTTAAATCGGCTAAAGAACATATTGTAACCTTGTTATAAAGGTCATTTTATGATGTTAGTTTTAAGTTTATGATCAGAAATTTTTCATGTCAAGTTGCGTAGTCATCTATTGAATGAATAATATATCTTAATGTGGTACTCGATGCTCTAGTGTTAGTTACTTAAAGAAAGACATTTAAATGTTACATTATTATCAATTACTATTTATTCCATGCTCTAAAATGTATTGTTTTTCTTTCTCTCTTTTCTTTCTATTTATCATTATTTGTGATAAAACAAGAGGAGAAGATCATACACTCTTTCAAAATGGAACACAGCTGCCACTGTTAGATTTTTTTTATTTTTTACAAGAACCCACCCTCTTCTTCCTCCACTTATACGTCATGATCATTGCGTTCGTGTTCTTTCACAAGAATCAACTTTTCTTACGCAAAAATTATGGATGGGGGTTCTTTTCGCGTAAAAAGTTTGAATTTTTTCGCTCGTTTTTTCTATTAAAATAATTAGTATAACTATATGTTACATATAGAAAGGAAGAAAAAAAAAATAAAAAGCACGAGTGATACAATAAGTTGTATGTAGCTAATAGTACGCAAAGCTCGAGTTCGTTCTCAATACTCTATTTCTTCTCGTCTTTTTTCTGGGCGTTGTTTCTTTTCTTCTCTCAGTTTTTTTCTTTTGCTACATTATTATTACTAGGTACATATCACATGTCCAAGTTTGTACTGCCGTAGACAACGACACCTTAGTATTTTAATTGTACATTAAAAAAGAATAAAGGATAAAACTATCAGTCTCTCTCTTTCTCTCCTCCTTACCCTCATTAATATGTTCATTCATTCATTTTTTAGATATATCTATCTATAAATCAATTATTTTCCTACACACTAGACAGACATATCTTATATGCACGTGCTCTTATTTCCTCGTGATATGTTACATATTTATTATGTTTAATTTTTCGTAAATATAAATAATAACACCCCTTCCCCCCATGTTATGTAATAATAACAATAATAATAATAATAATAATAATAATAATAATAATTATCGTAATCGTTTCGTTAATTATTTATTTATAGCGTTAAGTCGTCCTGATACAGCAATAACCGAGCATAATAACAAACAACAACAACAACAACAACATTTGATGTGCAATTCTGATTTGAATACACAAGTACCACCGCCAGTATTGTCTTCAACAACAACAACAACTATTACCAATAGTGGACATAGGGAAGAACAAACACTGAACATGCCTCCAAATGGGACAACAAATGTAAACTGTTTGTTACATTCAACAGTGGCAACACCAACAAATCATCTAATTATTAGTCCACATACACAACAAGATTATATTAAAACTTCTGTCGATTTCTATACTGCTGTATTACATTTAAGGTAAGAAGACGTTTATTAGCTAAATTTTTGTAAAGCATTTCATTGGAAACGATATTACTTTAGTATCGTAATATTCAATCTTTTATCTATAGGCTCAAAATTTATTAAGATAAAAGAAGTTGAGAGAAAATTCCTATAAACCTTTTCAGATAGATAAAAAAATGTCTTCGTTTCTTTTTATTCGAGAGGTTGTATCGATGACAATTCGAAAATTTTTTTCACTTCTTAGCTCGACTAAAGAACAAGAACTAAAAGGATACATTTATGGTTCAATGTGCTAATAAAATTTCTTAAGTAAGTCTATTGGTCTTAAATTGAGGGTGAGAATGCGAGCTACAACTGATTACTTGAGATGTTGAGTAATATTGGTATTTTCCGAATGAATGAAAAAATTAATAAATTAGATAAAAAAATCACGCCCTATAAAAATGACGTTTCAGACGTTTTATTCACACTGCTTTTATTGAGATATTTGAGTTTTCTGTTGTATACACGAGCTTTTGAGTGGATTCTGTCTCGCTTCACTCTTTGTTCAAGGTTAATAAACCATATATATGTATTCTGTCTGCACAAACAAATCAAAATGTAGTTTTCTTCAAAATTTTTGGACTAAACAAAATTCGGCTCATTGAGAAAGAAAAACACAAAAATCTTGACTCATCGGAACAATTAACCTATTTCTTGTCTACGTTACACTTATTTTTACAAAAAAATTCTGAGTGATCTGAAATTTCTTGTTTTAGTAGTCACGATCAACTATAATATGAATTTTGAAATTTAAAATTTTTATTTGTGTAGTGTATGTGTATGTTGCATGTGTAAGATTTGAAATTGTTATGAATCAAATTAGTTATAAATGCACACACACACATACACACACCTTATAATCAACATATTTTAGTATTTTCTTTTATCATAAAAAAAAAATGATAATAACACCGGTTTGTCTTCTTTTCATCCCATCAATCATTTCTTCATCTTTCTTACTACTTTTATTTTATGATCGATAGGCCGAATCATAAATACATCCTTAGATAAATGAAAAAAACTTTTTACTGTTCCAAATGTATTGATGATAATTTTCGATTTTTTAAGTGCTGAAAGATAGTAAAAAATAGAATTTTTTGCTAGTTTTGCAAGAAAATTTGTTATTCTCTTCTTCAATTTGCACCTTTGATATGTGTCTGCTTAGACAAGTTAATTCTTATGAATTCTAATCCTTTAAAAAATAGAAGTTTTATCATTGTCTTTCATTTTCTTCCTCTTTTCATAAAAGATAAACTCGACACTCGTCTTCACATCAATATGTCGTATTTTGAATTAATTGCATAACAATATAAGTGGCATTTACACTAAATTGTTTACATGTTATGGCAAGAAAATCATCCATATGCTAGGTTTCACTCTCTATAGGTGCTAAATTCTCATAATAGAAAAATTGGTTACACTTTTAACACAATTAAGTTAATATATTTAACATAATAATTTTTCTTCGTTACTAATCAATTGACATATGTCAATTGTACAATGCTAGGTTTATCTCAATTATTAACAACAACGATGTATCTTATTAGTGGAAAGAATGTGTCGTCTTCATCTATCTAGAGAATAAAAAACTAAATGAAAAACGATGGACAGTTGTCATATTTATTTTATTTCTAAATAGAATTGATTGATTAGTTCTATCGATGCGAATGCTATTTTGCACATCTCTCCTATGAGAATAGAGAAGAGACGAGAAAAAATGGTGCAATAATTAACCCCATTCTGTACTATTGTTGTCTCCGTTTGTTTGTCTACAGAGAGATTAAAACAATATATATAGAGATATGTTTGTCTTGTGTACAATGATTTCGATTGTTTCCTTAATACAACATAACTACTTTCGTTCTTCTCTCAATTTTCAAATAAGACAAATGAGTGAAAAACAAAAAAGTAGTTTAATACCCCTCAGTAAATAGTGACTCCTTGAAAAAGACATAGACTTTCGAATGATTGTAAGCAAAGAAGAAGAAGAAGTATTTATAGTTCTTAAATTAATAATTATTTTTCTAAAACTGAAATTCAATAATTGTATTTTGGTTATTTTACCTATTTACTTTTCTATTTTTAGACAATGTTTGCAAGACGACGATATTATAAAGAAAACATGTCCAGCATATCTGGATCCTGAACGTAAAATATCAGATTTACGAATTCATAATTGTTTTCAAGCAAAAGAAGCAGTTGATTGGTTAATTAAAAAACAATTATGTCAAAATGCTCAAGATGGAACAACATTATATCAAATATTGGAAGATTTAAAAATTATTCATCATGGTAAGATAGTTAGTCATGATAAGATCACTTTAATGTCTGTATCAATTTCTTTAATCTTTCTATTAAGTTTTTTCATTGTTTAAGTATCTTTTCTTGGGAACATCTATTTGAATGATGCGTAGAGTTCATATATGATTCAATGAGGAAATAACATCTATAGTTCAGAGAATTGATGAGTATACATATAGTAATCATATTTTCTCTTTTTTTTCTTTACTCATTTTATTCGGTTCTCTTCTTCTTCTTCTACATATATAGTACTACTATCACTACTATAATATGTATGTTTATAGCATGTGTATTTGGCACGATGCCAAATGAAATTATTGATATTAAATTAGACGTTATATTTTTTCTCTTATTTGTTTTATTTTTATGAATAAGTCTAAAGTCACGCGTTAACACTACAAACAAGTATAAACATCATACCATTAGATTTAATCCAATAGAAAAACATTAGAATAAGAAGAAAAAATAAATGAAGAAAGGAGACAAAGAATATAAATTTATATTTTGTCTATGTTTTATCGTCTTGTGACGACTGAAATCAATGAATGTAGGAGGACTTTATTTTGCAATACAATCATCTTCTGTCTCTATGATACATGTGTACTTTTACTCTCTCATGTACGCCTTGACAATATCAATATTTGTACAGTGACTCTAATGACAATAACAAGTCGAAAAGAATAAAAAAATGTCGTTCTTGATGATAAATAAGATAAAAAATGTTAATTATAGTCTTAGGAATGTAAACACGACGCACCCGCATATATCCGGGTTTATTTTGTACAAATCAATCGGAAGTGACCATAATCTTTTTGTACATATTGTTAAAATGTCATCTCTTTTTAATATATTCGTTTAGTATGTGTTTAGAATCAAATCTTTTTATATCAGAATGACACTAACATTTTTTAGTAAACAATAGAATTTGGAGAGCGGGACAAACCTTTTGTTTGGTTATCGATCAATAAACCCTGTTTAGTACAACTGTTATAACATTTATCGTATGTTAACCTTTTTACATCGTAGTACCCAAAAGTCTGCTAATTATTAGTAATTCATAAGTACTTTTTCAGCTGTCGAATATTTTTTTCGTCTGCTCTTTACGCTCTTTACTCAGATCATCATAATAAAAAACATAATTGCGTTATAATATAAAAAAACAGGAAATAAAAATTGTTATATCCTTCTGTCTAGTTAGTCAACTTGACCTATTTGATTTTATAAAAAAATAAATGTTTTCTTTCTTCTCTTGCTTCTTAGTGCTGCTTTGTTCTCCAATAAACAGATGTTTTCTTTTTTTTAAGTGTTCGATCTGACAAAATTCGAATATCCATCAACAAATAATACAAATGAAGCAAAGTATTTATTTCGATTTCGTCTTGATGATGGTACTGCCGATGATAATAGTCATTTTCAAAAATTTGCATCGATCTATGAAATATACGTCAGGTAATTATCATTAAACATATTTTTTACAATAAAGTCTGTTTCTACTAATGAAATTATTCTAAATAGATGTAAGTTTGTTCTAGTTAGTAAATTAGATTTTTATTTTCTGTTTCAGTTTGTTTAAATTACAAAAATCTCACTGTCGTGGAGTAGATATGTTACAACAACACCAGAACGATGATTCAGCTAGAATTTTGTTAAAAGGAGATAATCTAGCTCGAATGCTTTCATTCTGCATTCCTAGTAATGAAACAGTTGAAAGAGTCGCCGATGATATGTTACTATATGGTTTAATAAAATTTGGTAAGTCAAATTGATGATATTTGAAAAATATAAATGTTTTGATGTTCTTTTTTTTATTTAGAAAATTGTGAATCTGATTCTGGATCAGTATCAAATTTATCACCATCATCGACAACATCTTCATCTCCGTCGTCAACGAATGGTACTTCTATGTGTTTTTGTTCATCAGCTATACCAAAATTTCGTAATGATACACATTGTTATTATATAATTAATACGCAATATCATTTGTCTTGGAAAAAACGTCTGGATTTAGATGCTTTGATGAAGAAGACACAAATTATTTCACCAATAATAAATGGGTTTTATGATGGACCACTTTTGAGTTCATCTTGTCGTAAGTTTGACATATTACAGCTTTTTAACTGATTGTCTAACTTTTTTTTCTCGTGTTATTCTTAGCTGATCGTTTCAATCGTCTATGTAGCACAAATAATCAATATCGAACGTATAATAATTATCAACGTACAACAACATTAAATAATCCATTATATGTCAATTGTTATTGTTGTCGTCGTTATAATCATGAACTTAAACATTCAGCAGCTACATCGCCAATAAATAATCATCAAAAAGCTACAATGCTTCAACGACATAATATATCAGAATCATCCACTGATACATACGATACTATTGATCAACGTTGTATGTCACCATCACAACAGCTTCAGACAATTAATGATCGACCCAACTCACCACTCACATCACCATCATCTATAATCGATACAAATTGTACATGTATAACATCTCTTACATGCAATACTAATGGAAATTTAGCACATCACTACGCAATGGGTAGAAGGAAAAAATCAGCGAGTTTAAATTCACCTGATTCAAATGGTAAGTTGGTTTGTAGTCATGAGAGAATCTATATTTTTTCTATTTTTTCTATTTAGAAATTCGTCCAACAGCCGAAGAACTTGAAAAACTTCAATCACCATATTGTTGGCGTAATTATTCGGTAAAATAAATTACTCACAATTTCTACATTGGATTTTTTAACACGTTTATTTCTCTTCTAGTTGAAACGCGATCGTTGCGGTTATGGTTTAATTCTTCACGGAAATGGACCATGTTATGTTGAACGACTAGATCCATATGGCAGTGCTTACTCTTCTGGAATAAAAGTATGTAGAACTGATGTGCAACTCTTCGCTCTAGTTGGAAAAAATACTTACATCATCTCTCGCGTTTTATGTACCAAAGTAACTTGCAAGCATACTGTTATTCGAGAAACATATGGCTCATTTCAAACTCAAATAACGATTTTTGTTTTCTTCTTTATTCTTAGGTTAATGAGTATATCTATGCCGTTGAAGGTATCAATGTACTGCGGCGTAGTGGTAAAGAAGTTGAACGTCTATTATCTATGTTTGATAAATGTACGCTTTATACCGTATTTAACAAAGAACTATCATCGACAGACGAATTACCTACATTACCCATACCCGAATATACTTCGTTATTGACGATAGACACATTATCAAAAGTATCATCATCATCTAATATAAATAATCAACTACTGTCATCATCATCACACGTTTTACCATGTTCTTCGACAGCATCCACTACAAACTGTTCACAAGGTTCATCGATAGCCACTTCTTCAGCTTCGATATCACCGCCAAAAACGTCTATTAAATCTTCTAGACCCCATTTGCAATCGACATTTCAGTCATTATTTAAATCGAAAAAATTGACCGAACATCAAACGTCGTCTCCGTATCAAACGTCATCAATGAACGGCACTTCTATGAATGCACTTAAATAAATCCTCATAACTATATATTTTTTATGTATGCTCTACTAATTTTCTTGTTTTTTTCTTTTATTTATTTGACGTTTCGTTATCATACGTTACTTTCTTCTTTTATTGCGTGCGTGTGTGTGCGTGCACTTCTTTTTCCCGTTTGTTTGTTGTTTAACAAAGAGTATTTGTGCTTCTATTTGCCGTCTCGATTCTCCGTTTAAACATTCTTATAATATACTTATTAAACATTTTAAGTTATACCAGAAAAGCAAGCACACGTATTCAAGAATAGTAAAATACACACATACACTTCTTTACAGAAAAAATTATAACCCGGTTCTTTCTGCTGTTTTTCTTCTTTCTGTGTAGACCTGTGTGTTTCAAAAACATGCTTTATGCGTGAATTTTGTATTTTTCTAGTTGAAAATTTTTCAAAAAGCAATTTTTTTTTGTTAAACAGGAAAAATTGTCTTCATATGGAAAAAAAAAACGCAAATTGTATTTTTTTTTCGTTTATGGTTGTTTTATCTTTCAGTTGACAAAAATCTTTTATTGTCATACATATTGTATACAAAATGTAGATAACATATGACAAACGAAAGAAATACATCCCTCTCACAAAAAGGTAACGATAAATTGTTATTATTGTTGTCCATTTTTATATCCTTTTCTTCTGTCTCTGGTTTTTATTGTATTTGATTATGAAATGGTTCTTTTTTTGTTTCCTTGCTTGTTTGTTTGTTTTTTTAATGAAAAAAATAAAAATAAAATGGATAAAATTCTCTCTCGTATATAAAATATCATATCCAAAATTCATTCGAAGAGCTTCAAATTTATATTAAACCATGAATGCGTAACAGCATAAGGGAATATTGAACAGAGTCTTTTGTCTTTAGTGAAAACAGTTTTACTTTAGATCAGCTACTTGAAAAAAAAATTGAAACTCGCTAGCTTGAAATTGACACATTGAACAAGCAGAAAGTAAATGTAAACAAATGGAAAGAATCATTTCATGTTACAATGTGAAAATACGGAAATTACCAGTATATGCATCTTGCAGAGCTAACAATTTGTAATAAGAGTTGTGTAAAAGTTTTGAAAGCTACCGAAAGCTAGCTGATCAACGCAAAATTATCATCATTTTGAAAATGAGTACCGTTTTCTTTGGAATGAAATAAATGGAATATTTATTAGAGAAAACAATTAGAGTTAAATTTACATCCAAAGAGAAACTTTCTTCTTTCGGATACGAATGAACTAGTGCATTTTTCGGCTTCTTATCACAAAATATAATATGTAAGACAGACTTTTCTTTAATAACGATTGAAGGTAAACTCCACTTCTGTTCCACTGCAGAGTCTGTGCTAGAAAACAACAGATTTTTACGTCTTTTATCTTTAATTTATTATATAATAGTTATTTTATAAACGTATTCAGGTTCTTTGAATTAAAATGCACTACGTAGTAAACACATCAAATATGTTGTTTCTAAAGAAAAGAAACGTTCACTCTTACGCCTTGCCAGTATAATATTGAAAAGTTTCTCTTAATCACTAACTGCAAGCAGCTTAAACTGCAAACTATCGAACAAAATGTTACCTGGTGTACGCGCTCTGCAGAACAGATATGTTTAAACACAGTCTGGACAGTTTTGCAATCGAGAATTATACCTTTTCTCTCGGATATGAGTAAAGATTTTATTGTTAGATAGATTATTTCAGAATTTGAAATCGAAAAGTTTTTTCTAAAACAACACATAAAACTCGAATACCTTTTTTATATATCAGGAGAAAATTAGAATATATTTTTGTGGCATAAAAATGTGTAAAAATGACATTTCTACACCGCACACATTTTGGAATCCTTCGTGGTATCACATCCATTTTTTTTTTTGCACATTTTGATACGGATCTTTGATTCCTACAAACATAAGCAAGTATTCTGAGTCTTGTTCTTATTGTCTTATTTTTTGTTTTAGTAATAGCTATTCCTATTGCCAATACAAACTGTAAAAGAAACAGACAGGCTATTTACCTTCATTTTCTTGGGAATTTGTCAAAAATTAAGTAAAATACTCCAGTTTTTTGTATTTTCCAATGAATCAGCAGATCCCAGTCAAAACCATATGTTTTTGGCCATGACTACTTCAGAAGGGTGCGGTACACTCTTTCATTTTCATCAACAAGTTCGACTAAAAATGACGTTGAACATGGCTCTGCCCAGAGAAGCTTTCACCTCATTCAGCAGATGCTATATACTACATGAAAGCGTTTGTTTCTTTTGTTCATAAATAGCAGGAGACATTTCACAGCGCTTATTTGTGGTTGTTTAGTCAATGTCCATATCATCACTCGTTTATCCATCATCAGCGCTTATCTTTGGCTTAGAACAGCAAATCTAAACGAAAACAATCATTCAAAGCAGGCGACAGAAGTTTAAAAGAAATGTATGACGGTGAGCATGCGTCCAGCGAAGAGAGCATAGCTAATACTTCAATCCAGGTAAAATTCATCTTACAAGATCATGTAAGATCTATCGTTTTCTTATGAAATGTTGTAATAGGATCATATAAGATCTTGTGACAAGAAATCGCGTGATCATGTAAGACCTTGTCAGTGAGAGTGTTGATTTATATTTAATTATAATCACAAGATCTTATATGATCTTGCAATCGGTGATAACTCATTCTCAACACATAGATTTTACTACGATATATACAACAGCATTCCTATGACGAAACTTGGACTTTTTCTTTAATTTCATACATCAGCTGAGCACGAATAAAGTGTATAGCTCCACGGCATGTGGTCTGACACGAGTCATAAGAACTCCACATAATCTTGTAAGATCTGATGAAACTTTGTGAGATCTTGTCATCTATTGTACAATTATACAAGACCTTACCACAAGATATTGAAATCTTGTAAGATCATATTTCAAGATTCTTCGACCTGGAAAAACAAACGACTTCTAATTGGAAAATGCTGTCTAACTGTTATATTAATATTGGTTTAACATATTGTGAATTACAATAAAAATATGATGATACCTATGACTATTTTAAAGTAACGCTGGAAATTTATAAAAATAAAAAAATTTTTGATGAAGAATATTTACATCCTGGTACAGCAGCAATCTATCATAATATTGATATTATTTATCGATCAAAATTAAATTTTTTCAAGAAGTACTACGATATTCTAAACAAGCTTTAGATATTCGATAACAAATATTACCTGAATATTATTTTAATATTGTATCAAGTTTACATTCAGCAGCAACAATTTATAAATATCTAAAAGATTATCAGATAGCAACAGATGATTGTAATAAATCAATAGATATTTATAAATAAACAATTTCAGATAGCAATCACACAGTGGGCATGTTCCCATAGAGCAGGCGGACATCTGATTTTTTGAGTTAGAAAATGATTATTTTTGCATAATATGGTCTTACTATGTGTCAGATATTAGCAGAAGTAAAAAAGGTCGAATTCGAAAAAAATTCGAAAAAAAATTTTTTTCGACAAAAAGTTCCTTAGGGGGACCCTTACCCTGAATTTTTGTCAAAAAATGTTTTATTTGTAAAACTAACAAACTATACATCATTCGACGTAGTTTTTCACGGTGATTCCGAATATGACTTTATGTTATGGAAAAAGTGCTCTTATGAGGAAGAAAAACGCGAATTACCTCGAAAAACCTATGAGTTTTTGTAAAATCAATAACTCGACTTAGAAAAAAAGACGAGAAAAGACGAGATCATCATAAATACACGATAGGCTGAGGAACATTTTCATGTAATTAGAAGGTCTGTTCAGGCTTAGCGCTTTTTAGCGCTGTCACTGCACTGAGGTTG